AAAAAAAAAAAAAAAAAATCCTGATGACCAGTCTACACCCCATAGCATTCATTAGGATGAATGGTGGGAGCCAAGCAGTAGTATTTTTTAACTGTCCCTAGGAGATTCCAACATGCAGCAAAGTTTGGGAATTACTGATATAAACACGTTTTTATTGTGGTAAAATATACATAAGATAGCCAGGCATGGTGGCACGCATCTGTAGTCTCAGCTACTCAGGTGAGATGGGAGGATCACTTGAGCCCAGGAGGTCAAGATCAGACTGGGCAATATGGTGAGACCCCTAGCTCTAAAATAAATAAATAAATAACTTAAAATGTACCATTTTAACTATTTCAAAGCATACATTTCAGTGGCATTAAGTATATTCACATTGTTGGCCGGGCGTGGTGGCTCAGGCCTGTAATCCTAGCAAGACAGGAGGATCGCTTGAGCTCAGGAGTTCAAGACCAGCGTGAGCAAGATAGAGACCCCTCCCCCCATCGCCGTCTCTACTAAAAATAGAAAAAATTAGCTGGCCATCATGGTGCATGCCAGTAGTCCCAGCTACAGGGAGGCTGAAGCAGGAGGATCGCTTGAGCCCAGGAGTTGGAGGCTGCAGTAAGCTATGATGACGCCACTGCACTCTACCCAGGACAATAGAGTGAGACTCTGTCTCAAAAAAAAAAAAGCATATTCACATTGTTGTGCAACCATCACCACTATCCATTCCCAGAATTTTTCATCATTCCAAACAGAAACTCTACTGATTAAATAATAACTCTCCATTACCCGCCCCCCCCACCCCTTGGCAACCACCATTTTATTTTCTGTCTCTATGAATTTGGCTATTCTAGATACCTCATATAAGTGGAATCATACTGTATTTATCTTTCTGTGTCTAGCTTATTTCACTTATCATAATGTCATCAAGGTTCATCCATGTTGTAGCATGTATCAGCATGTCATTCCTTTTTAAGGCTGAATAATATTCATTGTATGTATTTACCACATTTTGTTTATCTATTCATCTACTGATGAACAATGGGTTGTTTCTACCCTTTGGCTTTTGGCTACTGTGAATAATGTTGCTATGAACATTCAGTTCTTTTGGGTATATACCTAGAAGTAGAATTTCTGGACCATGTGATAATTCTATGTATAATTTTTTGAGGAACTGCCATACTGTTTTCCACAGTGGCTGCACTATTTTACATTCCCACCAGTAATGCACAAGTGTTCCAATTTCTCAAAAAAAAAGGGTTCCAATCCTTACCAATACTTGTTTTATTTTGGTGGTTTTTTTTTTTAATAGCCATCCCAATGAATATGAAGTGGTATCTCTTACAGGTTTTGCTTTGTTTTGTTTGTTTGGTTTTGTTTTTTTTTTTTTACAGCATTACTCTCTTGTAGTTTTTTTTTTTTTAGAGTCTCACTGTGCCACCCAGGCTGGAGTGCAGTGGCTATTCACACAGGCAATCATAGCTCACTGTGGCCTGGAACTCCTGGGCTCAAGCAATCCTCCTGCCTCAGCCTCCCCACTAGCTGGGACTACAGGAGCTGTGCCACCCCGCCTGGCAACATTTTCTAATAAAACAAAAATTAAACATCCGTGCCAAAAAAGATTGAAAAAACATACATCAAAATGTAGCTGGTTGTGGTGGCATGTGCCTGTAGTCCCAGCTACTTGGAAGGCTGAGGGGGAGGCTCCCTTGAGCCCCAGAGTTCTAGACCAGCCTGAGCAACAAAACAAGACCCCCTCTCAAAAAAAAAAAAAAAGTAATTATTATTTCTGGGTGATACAAAGAATGATTTTTGTTTTGTTTTGTTGTTTCTCCGTTTGGGCTTTCTGTATTTCCA